ATAACCATCAAAACGCCTGCCATTTGATATAAATAAATCTTTGCCAAAATCTTCTCTGCTTTCACCTCCTCTTCTTATGTTCCCATATCTGCTGCACGCCACTTTAGGTATTTTGATCTCAGAAAGGAGTTGGTAATAAAGGTCATTGACAGGACAACTCGTCCTATTTATCCCTTTAATGCCCGAATCGTTTTTTTTCTGAAAAATACACCCGACCATATTCACGCCTGTCTCACGGCAGCCGACTGATGCCACCAACATGATAAGTTTTGGTGGTGTATCAGACGAAGGCTATAGACACGTATTGAACATGTTTCAAACGGCAATCGCGCCTTCTGCTACGAGACTAGTAACGATGGAGGATATCTTGAAAGAGAATCGTGCGGCCTTAAGAGGGTTAAAAGGTTGACAAAAGTTTGACGAGGTGGTGAGGACAAATCGTGAACTAAATCAATAAGTGAAACAGCTGTAGATAGTGTGCATATACCTCTCTCAATCATGATATTCGAATATTTCGATATTAAAAGGCAAGCTCGTCTCTTTACGAAGGCGTGCATAATTCAACCTTTCCATCATTTGAATGGGTCTCCTGGGCACTTGATTTCACAAACACCCTCCTTTCGACTCCTTTCTCTATTTCGTATTTTCCGAATTCGTTAATTATTCCAGTAACTCCCATCTCTGCAATCTATGTAATTTGTCTAGCCAAATCATAGCCGACTTATCGAGACTCATATTCTCAATAACTTTAACAAATTTCTATCAATCTACAATTAAATTAAATTGGCCGTTGTAATTGTAGTCGTTCGTCCAGAGTGGTTTTAATGGACTTAAAGCAATCACTTTTTAAATTTATTTAACTTAGGCAATAAAATTGTAGCTGTTTCCTAGGGTGAGATTGAAAATGATATTACATAGTCCAGAATTCATTTTGCTAATTAAATTGGCATATATATGAATTTAAATAAAGGCTAAAACAATACGATTTTAAGCATTTTAAATATGATTTATATCAGATTATATATTTTTGTGGTGTGTGATAGCCTCACCTCCACGTGGTGCACCCTGGGTGGTGCACTCATACGGTAAAATGTGGTGCACCCTGGGCAACGTATACTCATAAGGCAAAAAGATCCCTATTAACCGGCAGTTGACTTCTGACTTCAAACTACCATACTATTAACTGGCAGTTGACTTCTCACTTCAAACTACCATCTATTAACCGGCAGTTGACTTCTGACTTCAAACTACCATGAGTAACCGGCAGTTGACTTCTGACTTCAAACTACCATGACCTCACTGTATGTCATAGTCGACCACTATTAACCGGCAGTTGACTTCTCACTTCAAACTACCATGACCCCTACTGGCAGTTGACTTCTCACTTCAAACTACCATCACCCCTCACTGGCAGTTGCTTTCTGACTTCAAACTACCATCACCCCACCGTAAACCGGCAGTTGACTTCTGACTTCAAACTACTATGGTCCGACTATAGTTGACTTCTCACTTCAAACTACCATGACCCCGCTGTATGTCATATTCGACCCCTTTCACAGTACTCATCTTACCTTTTCACTGCCTTTATGTCTGTCTGTTTCTTTTACATCTTTGATTCACTCTTCTGTCCCCCCCCCCGAATTTTTGTCACTATAAATCATTATTCTGTCCCCCCCCCCGAATTTTTGTCACTATGATGTTCCTCCTCCTCTCTGTGAAGCCCGAAGTCAGCTAAAGGGCTAATTATAATCATCAAAACGCTTGCCATTTGAAATGAATGATGAATGATTGATGTAATAGCTAAGCTTTCATCCAACGATTAAAGCTATCAACCGTAGCAATGGTCGCATGATAAAACTAAACGTCTGCGTAGGAATCCAATAATCGATAATCGGGGGGACATGTATGGCGAAATTCGTGACCTTTGCTCTGGTGCATTAGAAATATTTGATTTGAATCGAGTTGATCTTATCTCCAATAACTGAATCTTAACTATGCAAATTTCTATTTAACCGCTGCTACTCTAAAGTACGCAATGAATTCGATTATAAATAATTATTAATCAATCGCTCAAATACAATTATCGTTATTGAAACTTATACATTATTTTCAAGTTTACAATGCCAATCCTTATAAGCCCGATTAATACTTCCATCACAATGATCTACCCACTTCAGAATTGTATCTGCAATGTTATTAATAAGAATTTAACAAAACCATTTTTCTTCAATAAGTCGAAGGCCAGCTAATTTCAATAAGAACAAAAAAATTTTATAAATTGATCAATAATTAAAAAAATCAAAATGAAAATTCAGGACAAGGTGTTATTTTACAATTACTATAACTACCATAATCACAATACGCGAAAATATATAGGTATCAATAAACATGAGAAAATAGTTTGTTTTATACGGTGGCAGAAGTAGTAGTAGTTGGAGGAGGAGGAGGAGTAGTATTAGAGTGTGAGATAATAACATGTGTAATTGAAAGATCAAGTCAGTTAAACACTTACGTCTGGGGTTTAATCATCATAACAGAGGGTTGGAGTTTGTTTAAATCCATAAAACTATCGGCGCTCTCTGTATCCACACCCGCGCCATTTGTACGGGTGTTATGAATGCGTGAAGCAGGAAGATTATCGCTTGAGCGGGAACTACTCAACTTTGCCTCGGTTAATTCGACAAGATGATTGGTGGAATTAGTTTTATTGGGCATTCGGCGGCGTCTATAATCACCGTGGGTTTGGATGACTTTTCCGGAAGAATCGCGAACATGATGGGTCCTTGTTGAAGAAGTCTTCGTAATTGGCCTTGGCGACGGTGAGATTCCAGTGTCAGAGAGTTTAGATCCTATCAACTGTTCCCTAAACATTGGACGTTTCATGGTCTCCGCTCTCAAAGAACTCTCATAGATGGGTCGACGTTTGGATTCCTCGGATTCATCGGAGTTTTCTAAGGAGAAGTTTATTGGGAAATCAATTGCAGATCTTGTTTTAGCTAAATTTAGCCGTTTGTCCAAAGTTAGAGGTTCTGTACGCAGAGTTATGTGCTTTCGAGCCCTAGCTGGATCCATTCTGTTATTAACGTAGGTCGCTTTAGGCTCCGGGTGTCCAACAGTTGTGAGATCCCAACGAGAGGTCTTTGAGAGGGCGTTGGGGTTATGTCGTCCACTCTTTTCAGATTCCTCTTCAGGTGACGAACTGAACGCGGTTGTCATGCTGGTAATGTAGCTTCGAGATGGCAAAATGGACTTCTCTTTTATGATAACCTCACTTCTAACCGGTTGAGTATGCCGTTTGGGTTCCATGCTCTGGTTTCTCTTTCTCAAACGCGTACTAGGTTCGCGGAATCGATCACTCGGTTGCGCGCCATTCCTCCTAGTATACCTCGAACTATCCTGTTGCCTTGGTGTAATATCATCAATACTTGAATCCAGCGACTGCAAGGAAATATCAGACACCTTCTCTGGGAGATTAGCTTTATGCCTAAAAGAGACGTTGGCTTTGGGACTGACTGGTTTGTAGGACCGAGCATAGATCACTCTCTCCTCCTGCTTATTCTCACCTGACGAAATGGATGCTGGAGAGCCATGCCTCTTTGGCAGCTCCGGCCCAGGAGGAGAGGCAGAGGTGAATGACGCTTTGACCTTTCTTTTGTGAATTGGAATGATTTCAGTTACACCTACAGTGTTACTATTGAAGCTATTACTATTGATGCTTTGACTGGCGGGAACAATGTGATTGGCTTGTCCTAAAGATGCCCGCGCAGCCACAACCTTGGGTGAAGCAATTCGGACTTCAGTGGTTTCAGGACCTGCGGATGAAGCAACAATAGCTTGGGCAGGAGCCTCTAGAAGAACAGCTCCACTTGTGAGGGTGTTCTTCAGTGTCCCTGAGGAGGCGACATTCGAGTGGTTTGAATTCTGACTGGAGGCGCTGGAACGTTTACTTAATGGAGAACTTCGAGATCGTGATAGCAAGGACATTGGATAATTGTCACTTATTTGGCTCGGCTTATAGTTGAACCAGGAAAAGGTTTTAGCCTGTGTGGGATTAATTCTCTTCTCTGGTTGCCAAGAGAGACAGGCCTCGATTAATTTGACCACGTGGATATTGTCTATTGCTTCGGAAGGCGAAGGGGTGTAATCATTGTACTTTCCAGAACTGTGAGACAGTGTACTCACAAGCGCCTGGGCAATTTTTACAGAACCTGGTGGTTTCCTGAGACGTCGAGTCTTCTTCGAGAGATTTGGGCGCAGTTCCGCACTACCATCTTGATTCTGGTGGATGGTACAGTAGCGAGGAATCAATTTCAGTGGGGTTTGTTTATCCAGAGGGCTGTAGTACTTTCTTGATGCTTCGGGTTCAGCAAAATACCTAGATAATACACGAGAGTTCTCAACCATCTGCAACGGCGGCATACCCAGTTTCTCCATCATACAGGCGAGTTGGTCGAACTCATCCTCACCAGGAAATAGTGGGTAGCCTATAATAGTAATTTTCATATATATATATATATATATATATATATATAAATACATATATCACTAACATTCGCAAAAAAAACAATAATAACAAAATCCGTCAAATATGGACAAATCAATAAATTGTTTCTGTACTGCGCACATACTTGCACAAGCCACGCGACCAGTTTATTGGTCGGTTAATCTTTATTGATATATTTAAACAAACGGGGGCGGAATATCTGTCAACTCTTTCGGTACATCCTCAAATGCCCTCCTTGTCCCGAGCCTCTCAAAGTCGATTTTAACGCCTCCAAATTATTGCAATACTCATATGTCAAACTCAAATCTAAATCGAAAACTCCTTATTCGAAAAAGATGCGGTTTTACGTTAACCTATGAGATCATTCATCAAGCGTGATAACTTCTTGACCTCACAGAAACAGACTTACACAGTGCTTGAGGGATTGGAATTATTTACCTCTGTATTTTATGCGAAGAGTACACATCAAATGAAAATTCCCTTTACAATTTAAATTGACACTTTATTAAATGTTCTGGAACTTCATTATTTAAGCAGTGGCCTTGAGTCTCTTGCATGGGAGGTCTCAGCGAGTCTTTTTATCAACCCGAGAACCTACCTTGTATTCGAGCAACCACCACATTCAGACCCGCAACTAATGGCCCCTGCGAATACCCGGATTCTATTCGCTCTGTGTGGTAAATCTGCACGAAGACTCAACAAATCCATCTGGACTACAAAATCCTTTGAAGCGAATACTTATTTTATTTTCTACTTTCATTATCTAAGTTGAGCATGAAATATGGAGCAGAATAATTGCTTTAAGAGTAAATAAATAAGCCCATAAATTTAAGTTACTCAAAATAAAATTTGGCAAACTTATTTTGCCTCAATCTCACATGCCTTTTTTTCACATAACTTGAATTCTTCAAATTGCCTAATTTGATTATCACGCTAGTATAATCAACTATTATTGATTTGAGTAAAATCTAACCATTTGGATGCAGAGAACATTGAACAACGCATTATCCTACCACTGGCAGACTTTGACAGTCGCATTTAATCAGAACATGTAAGGAATTTTCATTTCTCTGCCAATCACGTCTGGAGTTGACGTCCACCAAATCCATTGTTATGGTCGAGTAAGCGTAACGCAGGGAGAGAGAGACAATTTGGTGACTGAGTACAGCTTGAGATGTCTGCGTTGAATCCGCTTTTTTAGCTAACTATCTGCTGCTGTTGCTACTTCGGGTGCATGGGTAATTTATGCGCGAATGTCAAACAGTTGGAGATAAAATCCTGGCATGGAGGGGGGGGGGGTGAGGGAAGGTGGGCAACTCACTGCATTTTGGAATTAAATTAATAGAAGCGCGAGACTTTTAATGCGCTGATTTGAATCTATACACGCCACCAAATCCCCCAAAGGCAAATAATTGAAGGCCAGTGCTATAAAATTTCCACCAAATATTATTTCATTTTAAGAGCAAATTGGAGTGTTTTTTTGATCCTGTTTTTTTTTTAATTTTAATGATGAATTAATTTGAATATTTCGCCAAAAATTTAATTAAGCATTTTAAATTTGACACTATTGCTTAGATTTTAAAATAAATACATTTTCTGCCACCTATCTTCACCGAAAACTTTCTTAATCTCAGAATTTCTTTCCAACGATACTTTGGCAACGCAAGTATCTACCTAACTGGATCAAAACTTATGGAAGGCAGACTTGGAATTAAAAGGTTTTTTATTATAGAGAAGTATAAAAGGCATTAAAACAGTCTTTGTGCTTTTAGTATTGTATTTGCATAAAATGAGCCACGAATTATACGAGGGAAAGCCCGCGCACTGATGTTTTCTTCAGATTGAAATAAAGAACAACCCATCACTCGGCATGAATTGTAGCGAGACTCGATACGCCTTACCCAATGACATTAAACCAACAGATTAAGTAGTTCTGTGTGAACCGAGGAGGTGAACTCTTCTGGAAACTCGGATGACTAATAATAATAATAACTGAGCAGCAATGAGTACTCATTAGATCTTCCCTTCACTACTGTGAGTAATAACAATGAATTTGAAGCGATAGAGACAAGCAAAAGGTTGCTGGTGTAGAATAGAATGATCATATCTAAGGCATTATACCAAAAAATAAAAAAATGTGAAATAACAGAATTTTGGCACAAAAATTGTCAATGTGGGACTTTTACTTTCCTATCATTCTTTATTTGAACCGTTTCGACGCCTTTCATCACTCCATGATTTAAATAAAATAAGCCAACACCGAAACCGTGAGTTTCCACAAAGAGCCAAAACTTGCCAGTTAATCTACTCAGAGAAGATGAGCACCACAGTAAATACTATGATACACGGGGTTAGTAAGAGCTCTATCTATCTCACTCTCTCTCTCTGGGTCTCATAACTAGGTTCCAGAAAATTTATTTCAATTAACAAAAGTCGGCGCAAGCATTTGCGTCACTACCGACATTGACGCATGTCGTAATTGACATGCGTCATATTACCATTATAAACTACCCCCACGTGGTACATCCTGGGCAACGTAAACTCATATGGCAAAAAAGTCCATTAACTAGCAGTTGACTTCTGACTTCATACTACCATCACCCCACTGTATGTCATATTCGACTCCTTCCACAGTGCTCAACTCACCTTGTTTCTACCTTTGTGCCTGTCATTTTTACATCTGTGAAACACTCTTCTTCCCCACCCTCTCCTCTTTGTTTTTCAATCTGATGTTTCTCCCCTCCTCTCTGTGAAGCCCGAGGTCAACTGAAGGGCTAATGATAACTAGCAAAACGCCTGCCATTTGGTATAAATAAATAAATAACACCACGACCCACCGAAAGTAGAAACATTTGATCAGGAAGGGCTTATTTCAAAGACTAAACTGATTGCAATTTTTTCGTTGCTAGCGTGTATCAATTAATTGCGCCACTAGTGAAGCCACACATAAGACAGATTAGAACCGGTTCGTGGGATTTGTGATCACGAAGGAGCAAGTAAATCCAAGTCTCTGCTTGCGAAAAAAATACAACAGCGTCTTAAACAATCATGCTCTGATAAGAATGAAAATGCTACGTGTTCGCGGAGACGTTGAAGGGCAAATAGGCGTAAAGTCAGAGTCGGTTGTAGGAGGTATTTCTACTCTCGATATTGACTACTGCACCTATCAATGTCTAAATTGTGCATTTAGAATACGTCAATATGTGAATTTTATTATTAAAATTTTTAATATTAAAATCTAGGGTCCAAGTCAAGCGCTCAGTTCTTAAATGGTCAAAATTCTGAATGGAGCATCAAAGTGAGCAGGGTTAAGGTACAATTTTCAACTAACATCATTACACATGATTAAGTGAAAATGAGAATAATCAAGATTGTAGTATATATATATATATAAATTAAACGAGGTCTTAAAAATACCCCCCCCCTCGGTAAAAACAAAATGTTGCTCTTCAATTTCAATTGTCAAGTTATACCAAAAAAAGACGAGTTTAGAGGGCTTGAAAGGACAAATCGTACAGGCTTCTGACAACCGACTCAGCATGATTTAATTCGAAGATGAAATTCGAGATAACTCATCTCAATTTGATATTATTTTTGTTTTAAGATAGGTATTTAAGCCGCTATTATGCGTTATGGCACGGGAAACAGAAAAATATGACTTCAATTAATTGATAATTATAAAAAATGTGGATTTGGAACCGAGGCTAATTATTCATTTTTACTAATTGAATTTCTGCTGGAATGCTTTCACCAAATAAGTTTAAAATTAATTATTTGAAACCACGCAGGTCTAGTTATATGATACCTTGTTCTATAAGTGTAACAATTAAAACGATGACGTTCAATGTGAATAAATGTAGTGAATGTGGTAGAGTTTGAATTGTGGTAGCTATCTATATGACTTAACTTTTAGAAGCACTTATTCAATAAATTTCTATATATTTTTTAAAATGTGCTACATTTCAGAGTGGTTACGTTGCATCATTAATTTTTTTCTCTTTATTGCAGACTTTTAGGGATTTTTACACTGTGTTTTTGGTGCAAGATCAATTTTAGCATCAGCGAATCCCAGAGGAAATTTTTCCCATATTATGTCAACGAAGTATTCCCTTAAAATACCGATAGATGTGAAACAATCGCTTAATTTCAAAAAAAAATTGTCCATTCAAGTGTTTGCCGCACTCCCTCTTATTGAATGAAGGAAAGAAATATACGCGAATACAAGCCGTCACTCTAACAAACAACCCCCACTTCGCAATTTCCTTAATTGTCTTGAAATTTTCAATGCCAGCTGAACCCACTCAGAGCTATCAAGAAATGAAGATTTAAGGAAAGTAGGTTTCTTGGAATATTTTGAGAAATCATGTCTTCAAGACTAAAAGCCTCCAGTTCGCCTTTCCACTAAACTAAGAAAATATTAAAAATATAAAGATATAAAAATTCATATATCTACTTCCTAAATAGCGAATTAACTATATCGTTTTGCCCATTTTAACATAATTTTTAGGTTAGTAAAGAAAAATAATGGAGCCACGTGATGTGTGTTTTGCGAGTAAATGCAATAAAATGTCTCTCAATAACTCGGGAGAAGATATAATGAGGAGCCTTCAAATATCGTATCAATCCGTCGTTAAATAATTCGAAAAGTGAGCGCGACTTCATGTTAGGTAATATCGTGGACATGGAACGATTTAAAGTTTCACAACGTGGCAACTTCATTTGTGAGAGCACATTATTGAGCACAATAATATCATTCTCAAAGTAAATCTGCTTTCGAGACTATGAGATTGATCGCATGCTCATTCAAAGGAATCTGAAAGGAGCTCATTTCGTGATACTTGACCCAGAACACAAGTACGAATTTCATGAGAACTGTTACCTACCAGCAAACTAGAATTCATAATAATGTTATAATTTAGAATATTGGAAAAATTGACAGAGACTGTGAAGCCGTTCAGTTTATAAAATCAAAAAAAATAGCGACGCAAAGAGAAACAAACACAATTTTCAAGTATAATTAATTAATCATTATGAATAAACCTATTTTTACACAGTCATAAAACTATATTAAGAGGAGATAAACCGAATTCGCTTAATACTCCTTTCTCGCAATATTTTTCCATTCGCCGCCTCTGCCGGACTAATTTAATAGTTTTTTTCAAATATTCTGCCAATTACCTGCCTCATAAAAATATTCAAGGTCAAACTATGCGAATTTGGTTTCATAATGAAGCATACTTCCAAATTAAACAAACGTAACATTTTAAATATGTAACACTAGTATTCTTCATCAAGTAAAATTGAAAACTGACCTCGAATCATTTCAAAAACAAGGCAACCAAAACTCCAAATATCAATTGGTCGATTGTAATCCGATCGCATGATAACCTCTGGCGCACGATAAAACCGTGATTGGATATAAGGATAACACTGTTTTCCAATGAAACAAGAAGATCCAAAGTCAATAATTTTGACAAGATCACGTATTTCATCAGGACCACCGTCTGAAGCCCTGCTGACAAGAAGGACATTTTCGGGTTTTAAATCACAGTGGATGATTCCAGCGTTCCAGACATATGTTAGACCATCCAAGACAGAAGACATCAGTCGTCTAACGCGATCGCGTGGAAGTCCCTGGTCTTTCTTATCCTTTATAAGATCATAGAGCGAGCAACCGAGAAGTTCAAAACTGAGGCACATGTGATCGCGGAACATGAAGTGCTCGATCATTTGCACTATCGGAAATCGATCTGATGATCCCTTCGGATTAGGGTTCAATCGCTGTAGAGTCTCTAGAATAGCGATTTCTTCTTTTGCCTAAAAGAAGGAAAAATGAGTATTATTCTTTTGTATTAAGCGAAAGCATAAAGTAAGAGCATAAAGTCTACTTGTTCTCTTGTTCTAATAGATCAACATACAGTTATCATTCGACTGAATGGACTAAAAAGTTAGGCTTGACACATTCTTCTAACATCACTGATCCTTTGGATTTCCTAATCAGAGATCGCGTAGGCGCCTTTTTTTCCTAATTTTGATCTACCAAGTTTTATAACTATGTGCGATTTACCATCCTTGTAAGCTTGCAAGTTTGAGCCTGATTGCGCAATTACACCTATTTCAGATTGAGTTTCTAAAAAAATGCCTGGTATAATATCTGTGCGCCAGTGATTTTTTTGTTAGGTTCTTCGAGATCTGTCATTCAACTAGAATGACACAGGTTCAAAAATAGAGGTTATGGATGCTCCTTTTGAAAAAAAACACTGACTAATTTTAAAATTTTCTCTTTCTTAAAATATTTATATCAAATGGCAGGCGTTTTTGATCATTATCATTAGCCCCTAAGTTGACTTCAGGCTTCACCTAGGGGAGGAACATCAAAGTGAGAAAAATTCGAGAGGGTGAGCAGAAGAGAGATTCCAAGATGCAAAAAAGATAGACAGACACAAAGGCAGGGAAAAAGAGAGATGAGTACTGTGGAAGTGGTAGAATATGAAATACAGTCAACTGTGAGTATATAGACCTTTTTACCATATGAGTAAACGTTGCCCAGGGTGCACCACGTGGAGGTAAATATATCGTCCACCCCTTTCTTAAAATAGGGCTGCTTAGATTCTCTCCCATTCAATTCATGCTATGATTTTTAATGCTTGGTACAACAACAAGTCTTGGTTAAAGGGGGGGGAGGGGGGGGAGGGGTGGGAGGCGGGGGGAGGCTAGAGACACAAACACAGACTTAATCAACGCGGCAAGTCATTCAGCTGGTAGCGTTTCGAACCCAACCAGAATATCTGTCCTCGTGGATGAGACCTTTGCTCAATAATTTCCTTCAAATTTTTCCCAGTAAAGCCATTTGTTCACTTCATTGTTGTTGATGATGATGATGATGATGTATTGAATGTGGCACTACACATTAAAGCATCGATTAGTTGGTTGGAGATCAATTACTCTTTTTTTATGAATAGCGCACGAGGGAATCGCTTAATTATATTAACAATAAAATGCCAGTGAAGAGCGCTTATTTATTATCCCACATTGGCTCTCACGCTAAAACTTCATCAAATAGGCGCCGCAATTGTTTGAAATAACTTGAAAATAGTGTGAAAAAAGGCCACGTTTGCACTTCCAATATTTTATAATTTTGAGCACGTCTTATTTGTCTTAAAATGCCAGCCCTAATTACCCCCACCCACTCCCCACACGTAAAATTTATAGCGTGTTGACACATGACATTTGTTGACCCAGGTGGAATTATTTTGACCACCGTAGTCGCGCCACTAATATATTTTGACATTTTAAGAAAGTTCTAATGCCAACTGTTTCATTTTATGAAATAGATAAAAGCTCAAAGTGAGGATTTGTGTTAATTATTGATCAGTCAATTACAATCTACAATTCACTTTGCCTTTTATTCCTGATTTATTTTAAACACACCTTTGGAGAAGAAGAAGAAGTCCATCCCTTGGCATCGAATTGAGGTGGGTAACGAAACTCAGCCAAATTCGACACGCGGCGAGTTGTCTTTTTAGCCAATGGTCACGTTAATCTTTTCAGTCATTTACAAAGCATAAAAATGCCACATCTTTGGTTATTATTTTTTGTTTTGTGGTGGCGGCTTTGGAGGGAGGGGGGGGGTGTGGTATTCTATCATTTTTTGAGCAAAAACATCCACTTTGCTTGCTACCATATTCGAGCACTCCAGGCAGATCTTTATGGTATCGCCAGTACTGGTTTTGAGTCAGGAACCTGAGAACGGATAGTTTTTAACTGCGCAGTTTCTAGTACTTCATTATGGGCCTCCAAAAGCGTTCACCTCAGTTATCTGCGAAATAGGGCATGTTAATCATTAGACTTTTACTTAATTCAACACCCCTCCCCCCCTACCTCCACCACCTCCACCCCCCATTCCCGCCCCCCGTCTGCACTTTGCATGCATAATGTGTAGAGCAGAAAATCGATGTCGGTATGTTTTTTTTGCAGTTGCGCATAATTGAAGAAATCGATACAAAAATTGAGTAGATGAGGAGGAGGGGAGGGGGAGGAGAGGGGGAGGAGAGGGGGAGGGATGAACTAACCTGAGTGGTAAAACGAATGTCCCGCCTGACAACTTTGACAGCTACATCCATTTTCTCCTTGTGATCGATAGCGAGAATAACATTACCGAAACTCCCCTTCCCAAGGCTTCGGATGCATTCGTACCGGTAGTCGATATGATCGTGTGGAATTTCGTGATAGGAGGTGTCTAGAATTTATCACACACAAAAAAAAATATATTCACAAAATGAATAAAATTATTTTCCTCTCAACGTAATTACAGTGGGCGGGGTCTAATTCGCACGTAGAAACATAATTATTTCGAATTATAACCGATCGAAATTTTAATTTGGTGTGTATGTCTATCGCCAAGTCATCGCTTGCGTCCTTTATTAATCAATAAATCAATCAGCAACATTAAATCGAAATTATTGATTTTCCACACAAATATTTGTTTTGTTAGTCTAAAAAGACCCACCGTTATTGGCTTTTGCCTTCGCTTGGCGAAGATTCAACATCTTTGTCAGATCCCTTTTCATGTTCTCTCCTCGATAATAGACCTACAATTCAAATTGATGATATTAGGACACTGCCGTAATAACATTATAAGCATAGAATCTGTTCGAGAATAAAAGAAAGCCCACATTATTATTCGTTACATAAATTATCTTAAAAAGAGGCATAAAATCGTGCATTTAAATGCTGATAAGTTTACAATAAGGAAAAAAAGAACATTTTAGGCGAAATTAGCATTAGCAAAAAAACAACTCGAAATTTAAGTGTTTATAAAAAATGTTGTTTATGTTACACAGTTTAAAGTGATGGATGCAACATTAATTTGCACGTAAAACGTGCATGTAATTGCAAAAGAGTTTATGACGGAATTTCTGTCTGCCTTAAGTCCTTTATTTGTTTATCAAAATGCGCCAAATAAAATCAATATTTTGTGCTTCATTATCATCTTGAATACAGTATGACTCATTATTTTAAGATGTTTTATCGATTTTTCCCCCCAAAAAAAGAACAAAAATCAAATGTGCGAAAAAGTAAAAAGAGGTGGAGAATTACGGGCTTAACGACCGAATGTAGATGCGTGTTCATCAGCGAAATACCAACTCAAAAAATGGTGACTCGTCAATGTCTTCACAATGCTAATTAGGCATCTAGAAAGTAACATCTCTCATAAACAACCACCCACTCACAATTGCAGAAAGAATAACGCTCTCTTTCTCTCTCTCTCCCTCCCTCATTCTTTCTCCGCTATTCTGCAAGCGATAGATAAAAACGCCTATTTTATTCATGTTAGCCTATCCTAAAACAGCCTCTCTCTACTACTACTACTACTTCAATTGAGGATACCTTGGCCTCAACACCTCAGATGCCAAGATGTTGGCATCGTGTTGTCTTGCTAACATTCAAGTGTTAGCGTTGAGAGTCACATGCGCTTCAATATGGTTCAGTGGTGGTGGAGGTCTTATCAGATGTGAGGTGAGGTGAGGAGGACATGGCAAAATTTATAAATTTTACCGAACTAATAAAGAGACGGTGGAGCTGTAATACCAAATGAAATATGTGAAAAAATAAAATATTCTTATTATCGCATTATTAACACTAGCACCGCTGATCGGATTGATTCTAATTACCATAGAGGCTACGTGTGTTGTTTTTTTAATCTAAGCCCACTTTTTTACTCCGTCATGAAATTTATGAACAATGTGGAACGAGAAAATTCAGAGCTAAAATGCGGAAATAAGAGAAAACTGTAATCGATGTATTTGTTAGGAGATTAAATCCCATCCTATTAATGATGGGGAAACAATTCAAGGCGCTATTCAAGACTAAACATGGTAGAAAGGAGGGAGGGGGGGGTGTGGAGAGTAGAGTGTTGATTAATCAATATTCATATGTAAATAAGTGGCGTACACATAGAGAGCTGGTGTGCCGAATGCGTGTGCGTGTGCGTGTGCGTGTGCGAATGAGAGCGCAAAAGATCAGAGCACGGCGCTCTAAAACATGTGTGTGTGTGTGTGTGTTTGTGAGTGTCTTTAGTCCCCTCTTCATCTTCAAAGCCACAAAGTGACTGACGATGACGATAATGACGACTACGTGAGCATGTCGCACATCTGCCAACTTAGAGAGTTGAAGGGAAAGTTTGCAAAAGCGAGGTTTCCTTCAAAAGATCTATAGCAACTCTCTTCGTCAATCTCTCTTCCACATTAGTATGATAAAATTTTATCAATAATAATTAAATAAAAGAATAATGAAAACACTTATGAAATGAATTTGGAAAAAATCACAACCAAAGAAATTAAAAAAAAAAGATAAACCATTTAATCAAGCAATATTTCAAAATTAAATTCAATTTTAATGCAATAAAATTGAATGAAAAATTAAATAGATTTTAGGTGAAAAGAAACTATTTCTAATCGTGCCAATAAAATTCAGAAAATAAAAACGTTTTATTAAACATTAATTAAAAATAACTAACATGAGCTTACCACCGGATATTTTGAGATTTCATCCTTATCACCATTAGCCTGTAGGCGACTTGATTTAAGTGTTTCTTCAGTTTTATCGGTCCTGTTACTCGAAAATATCTTCTTCTTTTGAGGTGTGCCTGCAGCATCCTTAACCATATTTGATTTTCTAAATCTTTTAAAAATCGTTTTGGGGAATTATTGTTAAAATCTAGTTAGGAGTACAAAACTACAATTTGCCTTCAGCCCAACATTCAAATGTGCGTGCATTACTTTAGGTCAAAATATTGGTTATTATAAACAGACCAATAATAAAATTCTCGTTTGATTTTAAATAAATTCGCAATGATTTTTTAGTTATTTTTTTAAGTAAACAACTCTGAATGTCAACATTCCCATTTACTTAAATATATATCCTTTTGTAATGATGATTTCAGTATGCAAATTTTTCCTACATTCAGAAGTATATGTTCATTTCAACGTGCTTTTAGCATGCAATTAGAGTAAATCTTCGTAAGAAGCTAGTTAATTTTTCATTCTACTTAATACAATACGAACATTCCACAATTCACAGCCATGCAAGAAATAAATGTTACTTAATTAAATGCAGATATAGGTTCGCAGAAGGCCTCCTCCACGTGGTGCATCCTGGGCAACGTATACTCATACGGCTCCACGTGGTGCATCCTGGGCAACGTATACTCATACGGCTTAAAGGTCTTTAAACTGGCACTTGACTTCTGGCTTCAAACTACTTGACCCGACTATAAGTCATACCACTCTTCTGCTGCTCCTCTCGTCGTTTTGTAACCTTGAGATGAAGTCCGAAATCAGCTAAGGTACTATTGATAACTTTCATAAAGCCTGAAATTTAGAAAAACCAAATCTATTTAAAAAAAACTCTCACATCCATCATTATATCATAGAGTTAAATATTGTATGTCGCTTTTCAAAAAATGTTAACTTCGGTTTGGGCATGTGAGACACCTCATCGCATGCCTGCACGCCAGGATTGGGAGGTGCGACCGTACAAACAGTGACCAATCATTAACTTCTGTTTGTTTAACCTAATTCCCCATCCTGATCATGATTAAGCTTCCTGCGTGTACACTTTATCCGCAATATGCGTCCTGAATAAACGTGCTCCGTGCTACACGTCTGTTTCCTTTATAGCTGGGCTATAGATTAGCTGTTTCTGGGAGTCTAGCTAGGTGTTGGAGAATCTGCCAGAGAGATTTCTGAGTCGATCAGGCTTTACTAGCGTAGCAATCCTCTACAGGCAGTATTGTATTATGAGGATTACAAAAACACATAGCAAGCGCATGTATATTAAAATTCAATAAATTTTAGGCTTCTAAATATCAGTCTAAAGCCTGAATTTTTTAATAGTGTCCTTTTAGTAGCCCTTAATATTATTTGGCATTAAGAAATTCTATAATTATACGCCCTGCTAAATTCTGCTTCCCCATTTCCAAGGCTGTCAATACCTTATAGAAATAACTTTCATCCATGACATGAATAATTAAAGCGAAAAAAACATTAGTACTATTTTACATTATCTGCGTATGCGAAATTTCATAGGAGAACCTACATGCAAGCAATGATATTAATCACCGACGTTTTACTTAACCTGCAAAATTATCAAAGCCTTTATAGTGCTAAAAGAGTTTATGAAATCGGGGAATCAAATTTCATTAAATGTGAAGAATCTACTCAAGTTTAATTTTATTTGTCTTAATAATTCGCAAATATTTCGCACTAAAAATTTGGCATATATTTCTCATTTTTCATTTTCTTCGTTATATTTATTCCAGTTATTAGGAGGGATTTCCTTAGTAAAAATTTTATCTTGATTAATATTCTTCGGTACCGTTCATGAAAATTCAGATTTCCCCACCGCATTAAATCTCAAAACTGAGTTAAGTTTAATATTATGCCAGTTTTATTGAATAATATATATATAATTGAAATATATTTCGGTCATCAAAATTATATTTAACTGTGTTTGTATCAGTCAACTCTGACTCATTGATAATTTGTTATTTTTTCGAAAATACGTGGTTGTGTATAAATAACTTTCGATATATTTACATGCATTGTCGCCCCCCGTGTCCATTCGATAGCCGTTGGGATTTAAGGAATGCAAGAAAGGATGAATTTTCTTATTATCTTATTCGCCACGAAAGCGGAAATCTAGTTTATCCTTCAGTTAATCTTTACGACGATTTTATCGGTTCGTGTAAAAAGTTTCAAATTGTTGAGGAATTGGGCAAAGTTAATCCACTGATAATAAGCGAAAATTTGGAAAATATTTTAAAGAAAAGGGGAACTGAGCCAAATGAAGATCGCCCTGATGATGCATTTCAGCTAGGCCAAATACTATTTGAAAAAGTTAGCAATTAGAGCTTGTAAATAATTCCTTATAGGAGAATTATTCCGAAGCATTGAATTATTTTAAACTTGCTATTTTGGGTCATGACGATCCCAGAGCAAAATATCAAATTGGGGTAATGCTATTTGACGATCTTCTAGATAGTGAAGATGTGAAGCAATATCAAGATCCACAGGTAACGGAACCAAAATAGTCTTATGGAAATCTTAAGAAAGCAGCTGTTTACATTATGGAGGGTTTGTTGTCATTGGATAGGGGAATCGGGGCTCCTTTGGGAAATGCTGAAATTGTTGAAGCAGCTGCATATAACTTATTTCTCGCCTATGTCCACGGATATGGTGCTAAGATGTCCGACGAAAAAGCGCTCCAGTTAGTTAAATTATGAAGTTAATTAGAATGAATTCTGTTTACTGCATTTCTTTACTTCACAGTTACCTTAAAATTGCTGCCGAAAGTGGGAATACGAAGGTATCCCTGAAGGCTCAAACGGCAATGGGATTATTCTACTCATCTTTGGATCATTTCGATCTTGGCAAGGCCTTCTATTGGCATACTGAAGCCTGCCAAAATGGCAGTATTGAATCTCAAGGTGGCTGCTATCAGTTATTTTATAAAATTACATCTATTCCATGTTTTTTAATCCTTTTTGATTCAAACAGCTCGCTTTACATATTGGGCAGCATTCTTAACTGCGAAACATAACTGAGTCATTTATTAAAAGCACTCACTTTATTCTTATAAACGATTTTTGCTTAATTTTAAGCTTTAGCAAAAGGAATTTAGCGCTTGCATTCCTTTCTTCTTCTCAGTAACCGCGGAGATACGGATTTCACATCCCATCTTGTTTAATTTGATATAATATTCTATATTTCCAAGTGATGAAAGAAGAGGTTTTATGAGTAGCGTTGGACAACTTAGTAATCACCATCATTTCGATAACACTGGGTCTATACACCCTCCCTTGAAAGGAGGAATTGTGTTTTTAATACATCATTTCATATTTCAATTAGACATTTAATGCCGTGGTGGTGAAAGAGCTAGTACATTTTCATCATTTACTGAACAATAGCACTGAATTACGCTACCACAGCCATCCTATCTAGATGATATCTCCGGGTTGGAAAAAGAGAAAAATCAATACTGATAGCAAATGGTGCTCCTGTGAGTCAGAAGCCAGGATTATGGGGCCAATTGGAGCACTTCTAATGAGCCAAAATGGTCAATAAAGATGATGGCGCGTTTAATTTGTCCAGAGTGCAGCTTTCCATTGTCCATTCCAAGGGGGACTTTGGAACTTATCTTGGCCATCAATTGGTGGCAAAAAATTAATTATTATATGAGCTTAATCGAGGACACGGTGATGGTTGCAAAAAATTTTCACTCCGATGTATAAAGTTCTTGATATGGCCAGAGCTTATTGGCCAGTTTAATGATGTAATTGATTGGAACTTCTCATTATTGTTATTTCAAATGGCAGGCGTTTTGAATATTTATCATTAGCCATTTAGCTGACTTTGGGCTTCGCAGAGGGAGGAAAATCAAAGTGAGAAAAATTCGAGAGGGGGAGTTGAAGAGTGATTCACAGATGTAGAGGAGACAGACAGACACAAAGGCAGAGAAAAGGTGAGGTGAGTACTGTGAAGGGATCAAATATGACTTACGGTGGGGTGATGGTAGTTGGAAGTCAGAAGTCAAGTGCCGGTTAATAGACTTTTTGCCGTATGAGTATACGTTGCCCAGGATGCACCACGTGGAGGTAAGTCTATCGCACACTC